GCGAATGTCCTCAAATGGCAAATATTTACAGATTGGTCGGTGTCTTCTGTGCCCACGACCACGCCAATCTGCCGCCAACCAAAGCGACTGCAGGACGGTTTGGATACTTGTAGCCGCTTTCACGCGCTGACTGACAGCGGTCACGTTTCTCCTGGTGGCCGCTGCGTGACCTTAAACACCTTAAAACCTGTAAACATCAGCTATAAAAACGTGGCTTTACCTTTGCACAGATGGTGAGAAAGAAACACTCGTCAACGCCGTCTTCCACGACCTCTGACCTCAGCGATGACCTGGACACGGAGGAGGCGCTGAAGGGTTTTGATTTCTTGGCGAGTCCAGACGAGCTGGACGGATCGCCCGAATCGAGGAGCGGGGACGACAGCGGCGAGTGGGGTGAGTCAGAGCATCAGAAGGTTAGCGAGCGAAGCTTTAACCACAACGGTAACAGAAGAGTTCAGAGTTCAGAGAGCGTGACTGCAGGAGGACCCAGCGTCGCGCCCTGTGGAGCTCCAGTTTCCTGTCTACAGCGACCTGCAGGTTACTGGCAGATTTGACCTTTAGAAACTTTTCTTAATGTTAATAAGTCAGAGGAGTGAAGGTGATCCTGTTTTATTTAGAAAGAGCAAACAGGAAGTGTCTGTGTTGTTCTGTGTGTTCGTTCAAGCATCCGTGAAAGCTGCTGTTTGATTTTGATCATTTTTAAATGAATTTGTAACAAAGTTACGTTTCAGCTCTTTTTTGCAGACGAGGTGAAACAAACTGAAGCTCCTGACCCGCCGTCCTCTGTGTTTACATAAAGAAACCCTTTTTCTGCTGTTGCTTAGCAACCGGTCCAGTGTCATTCGGCCAATGACGGAGAGCTCCCCACGCGCTCGGTGATTCAACGCTCGAGTCCAGATAGCAAAGGAGCGCTGACTCAGTGCAGCAGGTCTCACCGCAGTGCTGCGTGCTCACGGCGTGAAAGGCCGCAGCACGGAGCTTCGTCTCCGCTTTAACGCCGTTTCCATCTTGAAGTTCGGTCTGCGACGCCGCCTCCACCTTCACACTGAGATGTTAAAGCAGCCGAGCGCAGATGAAACCCGTTTGGCTGCTCGGTTATGATGGAGCTGCCCGTCTCAGCTCCATCATCCCCTCGCCTTTCATTCAGCTCGCCGTTACCATGGCAGCTTCCATCACTGCACGCTTATCTGTGGAGCCTGGTGTGCCCTTTGACCTTCTACAGATAATGCTGTGGAGCTGCGCCCCCTACAGGGGAGGAGAGAAAGAGTCTGAAGAGCCGGTTTATGTTTGAAATGTAGAAGCTCGTAAACAGCAGGAGGCGAATAACTGCAGGATTAACAGGAAACAGAATAAACTGACTGCGTCTCGACTTTCATGGTTTTTTACAGAAAGCATCCTTTATTGTCTCATAACTTCAGTGTGAAAAACACCTTTAAGCTGTTCAGACGGCGCAGATCAGCTGCACTCGCTGCATCACGATGTGAATGTTTGATTTCTCTGATGATTCACTGCAGGAGAAAAAGCGCGTTCACACTTTCAGCGCCACGAAGCTCGGCGTCCAGCTGAGTCCTTCTGGGTCTCATGTTTTCTGTGAGGGACAGAAACATCGTTAATCCTGGACCTGCTCGTACAGATGCAGACTCAGGATATTTTTAAAGTTGATGTAAGACAGTGATGCTGTGAGGTCACCTTCATCGTTGGTTGAGGTTTTCTGGGACGAATGGTTCAGGAGGAATCTTTGCATCATTCTCGCCTGTAGGAGGCGCTAAACTCGCTGCATGTTTCTGCGGGACGCGGTTAGGGAAGGACTGCTGGCCTGGCTCTGCACACATGTGTAAAGCACAGGGGGCGCCGTAGAGCGAGGTCAGCTGACAGATGAAAGCGACAGCGTAGCTGGGTTACCCCCGTCTGTCTGAGGTTCCTCGCTCGCCATCACGTCTCCCTCAGGGATGGATTTGAGCTGCACTGCATCCAGACACTTACATGTTTCTGCCTCCCCTCCCTCCCTTCTCCTCCCTCCCCGCCTCCCTGCCTCCTCCCCTCCCTCCTGTAGAGAAGGAAGAGCAGTCTCCTCTGGGTGAAATGGCCTGGGATGTGGACCAGGGACTGATAGCCCAGCTCAAGGAGCAGTACAGGAAGGAACGCAAGGGCAAGAAGGGGGTGAAGAGTAAGTCGTGCTGCAGGCCTGTGCTTCATCCTCCCTCCTCACCCTCTTTACCTTTTGTTCCCCTCACCCTCTTCCTGTAATAATAAACTATTTACTCTCTTTTCCACCTCTAAGTTTTCCCTCCTCACGTCGCCTCATCACTGGTCCTCTGTGTGTCACGTGTTTACAGCTTTGTTATTTGGGAAATCTCATTGGAGGATTCGCCTCCACCCTCTCAATCCAACCATTTCAAGGGTCAGTTAGGAG